TAATTGGAGTCATTTTCTCAATTTTTGATTGGTTAATTTAATTGTGGTGGCATTAATTGTGGCTTGTTATTACTCCATATTAGCCTCACCCATATATGGAAGGTAGGGAGTGTGGGAGTATGGTCCATTAAATAATGACTTCTTTAAAGAAAAATGAAAGTTATAAAGTTTTCCAAATGATCAAACAAGTGAAAAATAAAGTAAATAAGATCTTCACACAGCACACACAATAATAATAACTGTGTCAGTCAATCAATAATACAAAGAAAATGAAATATAAATAATCCCAAAGAGATTTAGTCAAGAAAATTCTCTTTATTTCTCACAACAAGAAAAGAAAATGATTAATAATAGCTGCATACTCACATAACATAGATCTGACATCCAAAAATAAATTCAGAAGATGTCACACACAGATAGAAATTATGAAGATCATGTCAAAATTTGTACACAAAATTAAAAGGAACTTTATTATAATTTTTCAATAAAAAATTCATTGAGCAAGAGAATAAAGTAAATTATCAACAAAATTTTTAATGAATGAAGTAACTTATTGTTAATATAAACTCTTTAATGGGTGCAAAAACTCAATTGGTATCAACCATTAACAGGATAACAGTACTATTTATTAATAATTGTGAGGGACCAACATGAGATTGACCCAACATGAAGTTGATCATGTGTTTATGCAAAAAATGCGTCGATCAGGATTGAGCATAATATGAATTGGATTGATTTAAGTCAGATCGGATATAATACGATCTGATTTGAATTGAATTAACTATGCATAAACACGTGATCAACTTCATGAAAAATATGAAAAACAAATATCTAAATCTGGCTTGAAGCATTAATTGAAAATATTGGAGAAACAATTTTATACATAATCTTTACTTCTTGAATTCTAATCCTTATCCTAACTCTAGCATGTTATTACAATAAATCTTGATGCAAATAAAAAATACGAAAAATACAGGGAGTATTAATTAAAAATATCAGGAAGGTAATTTTACATATAAATCTCATATATAAGTTTTTAAGATGACAACAATAACAGTATGAAAATCTGAGATCTGTGATTACATTCCAGATCTGATGATGTCTAATGTATTTGAAAGACAAGCATGCAAGATAAATACTAACAAACAGATTGAATGTTTCTTGGAGTTGTTTGTATAGATAGTATAATCGACACCAATGACAGAAATATGTTTTTAGTATATTGTTGATTCGCACTGACGTTTGACAATATCACTGAGCACTACGACATGTGATACGTGTTTATCACAGTGTTAAAGGTTGATTTATTAGTGTTAGAGTTAGGGTTAAGGTTAGAATGGAGGGCCAGAGTATATGTAAAATTGCCTCCCCGACGTTTTTAATTAGTGCTCCAAGATAGATTAAAGCATAGCTCCAAGATAGATTAAAGCATACATTTTCCATATTTTTCATTTTTTATGTTCATGCTTCGGATTTGTTTCAAAACAATTTTATTTATCTATCATTTACATATAATGCGAAATTATAATTAAGAATCAACTTTTTTAAGACGACGAACCCTTTTTGAAGGACAACGTTTAGTATTTTTCTCAGGCGTTTCAATAATAACGGTCTTATTATTGTTTGTTATACCAATAATCGTTCCGGTATCCTTAAAAGTAACTTCCAACTTGCGCTTTCTAGTCGATGGGTTCATATCAGTATCTGGAGCAATTGTAACTGATTGACCTGGTTCAAGAATATTTGTATGACGGTGAACATTAGAATGTTTAATCATATATTTGCATGATTTCTCAAGCTGATTGTTTATATTATCTTGAATAGCTGTAATCTTCTCCAGATGTTCTCGAACGACTTGCGATAAAATGACAGTATTAGCAACTTGAATTTCAGGTGAATTGTCTATTTCTTGAACAGCTTCTATATCTTTTAGATTAAATTTTTGATAAATTCCAAGGAGTTTATAACCAAACATAACTTCACAGGGAGTTTTATTGTGAGCACTATGTCGTGTGGTATTATAAGAGAAAATAAATTTTTGCAGGTTATCTTTCCAATTAACATTTTGAAGTTGATTTTCTTCATCCCACATCATTTTTGTAAATCCACATCTGATTGTCTGATTTAATCGCTCTATTTGACCTTGTGATTGTGGATATCGTGGATGATCATGTCGAATTGTAATCCCAAGAGCCATACAAATATTTTTAATGATATTGGAAACGAATTCCTTGTCATTATCAGATTGAAGGATCGATGGCACACCCCATTGAGCAAATAAAGAAACCAAGGCATCCTCAATGATTACAGTTTCTTTAGTCTTAAGCGGAATAGCCCAAAAAAACTTTGAAAAAATGCAGACGATCGTAAGAAGCCATGCAAAGCCATCATTTTGTTCTTTATATGCTGTAAAGTCTACAAGATCCATTTGAAGATGTTCCATAGGACCGTAGCTAACAACTGACATTATATCATCTTTTTCTTTAATCGATGTTGTTCTATTACAAATATTGCAATTCTGAACCAACTCATAAACTTCATTTCTAGTGATACCAATATGATTTATATAAATTTTATTAAAACATTCTTTTGCATTTATATGACGATCATTTATATGAAATTGTTAAAAAAAGTGATTGATGAAATTCCATGTCCCACGCTGGTACAAATCAACAAAGTGGTTAATTTTCAAGTTTAACATAAAGGAGATCATTCTCCAAATGCCAAAGCTTTATTCTGCGTTTGAAGTTCCAACGATTATTTGGTTTTATCATTTCTGGAAGTATTCCATTACGAAGATAGTTGACTATATCTTGATATGCTGTGGGAGTTTTTGGAAAATCGATCTTATAAATCATTATAAAAAAACAAATTTTTTTTGTTCAGTTTCAAAATAAAAAAAATTGGGTCAAATATCCCGATTTCTGTTGTGGCAATGGGTACTGAGTGATGGATACAAACCCATTCACTCAGAAATTAATAAACTCCTTTTTGCTGCTGATTTCAAACCACTTCAAGCTTTTCTCGCATCCCAATATCATTTTGTCATGTGAACACAGACGCAAAGCATGCGGCTGTGTACATCTGTAAAGGGATTTTAGTGATGTTAGTGAATTTAGCAAACACATAAAAATAAGAGATAGTGATGTTAGTGAATTTAAAAAATACATAAAAGAGATTCTTTATAGAATATAAATAATAATAATCCTACATCAACAATGTCTGTCCAAAGGACTAATCAATATCTTAGGTGATCAAGCTGCAATTAAAATGCTTTCCTTACAAATTTTTCCAGACATTCCTTTCCTTGAATCAGTTTTAAGGTAGTCTCAGATAGGCTTCAGTGACTAATCACACTGTGTTTTTCTTTTTTTAGATTCAATTTAATAAAAACGAGTTGTACAATCACAATGTAATTTAGATTAGTTTATAAATTAGAATGCGACTATAATAACGATAATAATAATAATAATAGAAAATGTATATTAAAAAAGGGTTTTGGATAAATACAAAAATAATCCTCCCAAACTAATTCTCTTCCCCAACTTACCCAAATCATACCTACGCATATATAGTCACATGAGCAAGGAATCCAATTATGAAAATGATGATGTATTTGACAAAATAAATAGGAAAATCAAAAGCTGTAGGCAATGTTCACAATGTCCAAATCATCAGGAATCAAAACTCGAAAGATAAGCACAAATTATTGACAAAGAAATGTCTTCATCAGATGAATCTATTGGTGACTAAAATATTAGAAATGTCCAAATAAAGAAAATCAAATGTCACAAGAACATATTCTAAACAATGGTGAATCAGCGTTTGTTATTCCCGAAGAGTCAAGCTGAGATATTGAATGAGAGCCTGGACCACCTGGTGAAAACAGAGAAAGAAACATCAGTCAGAAAGATTATCATCATCCCAATAATCTCGCACCACCACCAGGAAACCCAAGTAATGAAATGGGATCAGAAAACCATTTGCAACAATTATCAATTATAGTATACAAAGGAAACAACACGTGCGAAAACAACGGCTTAGAAATTATTACCAAAAATGAGGCTACTGGATCCACTGAGAGCATCAAATACAATGATTTCGTGTTTGATAGGTGAGATGAGATTAAGAAAAGGAGTCATCCACTTGGAAGCGAGTACAATTCACCTATATTCAGTATCGGTCTCTTAGCGTTCTTGTGAACAGAGAGAACGCGAACCAACGGAAACAACAAGAGAATTCGTGGAGCCTACAGGAAGAGCCAGTTGCGATCCTGAGAGTAAAGACTAAATACGAAAAAATTGCAAAAAACCAAAAGTAAAGTTAAAAAATAATTGGGCTGGAAATTCCTTCAATTTTGTAACTATGCTCATTGGGTCAACAACACCAAAGAATCACAACTAGAAGAACACTAGGAATCGATTAAGCTCAAATTACCGAACCCCACACCACCAAAGCAACAAGAAACGATAAGTCATCCAGACAGTGAAGCGATAATGAACTTTTGATGGAGGAAAAATTGTGAAATGAAAACAAAGAACTATTAACCCCCCCCTCCCTTTAGGAATGTTCGAACACGGAAAGTAGACGGTGTTGGAGAGAACTACAGGTAAAACGCTTGAGAAAGTCGCGTTTGAAAACTGCAGCCAAGAAGTAAAATATGGCTGTAAAAATTGACTTCTCGCCACCCTGAAACTACCAAATTCACCACCACTAAAGATGACACTAATATCTGCACTACCAATCTGCTCCAGAGAGTACAATAAAAAAGAAAACAGGGCAAAGTTGAAATTTGCAGTTTGTTAAATTGGTTGTTTTACCAATTACACGTAACTGTAATACAGAGAATAATCTGAGTTGAATTATATATTACATTTTGCATAAATTTACCATTACATTTTGCATAAATTTACCGTTACATTTTGCATAAACTTACATTTTTTGCATAAACACATGATCAACTTCATGTTGGATCAATCTCATGTTGGTTCCTGACAATTATTATTCAAAGAATTATATAATACAGTTAAATTTTTTTATAGTCATACTCATTTATAGTTACATTTCTCTATATTTATCTTATTTTGCTTTTTTATTTACATATAAATATAATAAAAAAATCTCTCTATAATTATCAAATTTTGCTTTTTCAAAAATAATGATTATAAAGAAATTTAACTATATTTACAATTAAATTTAATAAATATAAAAATAAAAATACTTATCACTATATAAACTTTTAATTCTTATTAAATATTATAAATTGTACTTATAAATAAAATTATAGCTTATATTTAAATCTATAAATTAATATATAATATTATATACTAATTTTTAATCAAATTCAAATCAGACTCAAACTTATATAATGATTTAATTTAAGTTTAATTCAAACTTTGAACTTAAGCCAAAGTTCAATTCAAATTTGATTCAAATTTGAATCAAACTTGAATTCAGACAAAAGTTTGGTTTAATTCAGTTTATAGAAATACTAATTATTATTGAAGAAGTAATAATAGTTAGTAATAGTAATAATTTAATTTTTAATTTTTCATTTACAGAAAGTAATCAAAAACTATCATCATTTTCAAAATTATTATATATAATAATATTTCTGAAATATGATAAATATCTATATTTATAATATAAATTATAAGTAACTAATCTTTCATAATTTTTCAAAAATCATATCTAATGTTATAAAAATTTTTGGATACAAAGAATATTACAGTTGCTGATTATAATATCTTTTATAGATTGGTAAAGCTTTTATATTAGGTATTATATATTCATAAATTTTTATGCTCTAAATACAATAAATTAATTATTTTAGGATATAATATTTTGATATCTAGCGATTTGATTTGAGCAAAAATATCATTATTTGATTTATTTAGATTTAGTAAATCAAATAGTAGTATTTTCACTCAAATTAGATAGTTGAATATTGAGATATTATGTCCTAAAGTGACCAATTCTTATTTGTTGATTAATTTTTCATTATAAATTAATTATCAGAAAAAATGAATTAGTCAAATTAGAATATAATGTTTCAATCTTTAGTAATTCAATTTGAATAAAAATAATATATTCAATTTGCTTAATCAAAATGAATCAAATAGTAATATTTTTGTTTGAATCAGATAATTGAGATTAAAATATCATATTTTAAATTGGCTGATTTATTTTTTGTTAATATCAAAAAAAATGAATAGGATATAATATTTTGATATTTAGTGATCTGATTTGAACAAAAATATTATTATTTGATTTATCTCAACTAAACAAATTGAATAATAATATTTTTGTTCAAATCAGATTACTGTATATTAATAATTAAATTATTAAATATTAAAATATATATTAAGAAATAATTAATAATATTTTGAGCGTGAAAATTTTATAAATATACAATACCTGATATAGAAGCTTTACAAATTTATAAAAGATATCATAATTAGTATTTGTAATATTTTTTGTATTTAGAAATTTTCATAATATTAGACATGATTTTTGGGAAATTATAAAAGATCAATTACTTATAATTTGTATTATATATAAAAGATTAGATTACTAAACTATTAAAACTTATAATTTAAATATTAAATAATAAAATAATAGAATTAAATATAACTTTAATAAAAAACTAACAAAATTAAAATAAATAATCATTAAACTTTTCTGAAGTACTAATATTAATAATATATATAAATTAAAAATGATCTCCTAAATTATTTTTGAAAAAAATAGTATTTTAGCAAATAATTCAGTTTTGTTATGTTGCTTATATTAATAAATACTTAAAAATCACCTAAAAATACTTGTTTTGATTTGTAGAATTCAAATATTTTCAGAAAATAATTTCAGTTACTAATAAAATAATTTTGAATTTAATTTCAGCAAGTTAATTTTAACAAATTATTTAATTAAATAATGTCATTTCAGCAATCATTCTTAATATGAATATAAATATAATAGCTATTAAAGCTTTTTTAAAGTATTAATCAATGATAGTTATATAAAAATGCAAATACAAATATAAAAAATAAATGCTGTCTCTCTTAGATTAGCAACATGGAAATAAAAATAATATAATATTTCTCAAATCTCAAAAATAATAATGCAAATAATAAATATTACAGATAATAAATAAATAATGCAAATAATAAATATGAATAATAAATAAAATATAAATAATAGTTTTTTGTTAAGATAATATGATTAAAAAATCAAAGTAATATAAATTACAATCAAATTTTATTTGATATTATTAAAAAATATATGAATTAATAACTTGATAACTTTATAAGTTCATAATAATTCTTAGCTAAAATACATGTTGTTTATATATCTAGTTTTATCTCAAAAAGAATTAATTAAAATCTAATATATTCTCATATATTATAAGTAATATATAATATTACTCTAATTTGCTAAGTATTGCACATTTAACTCTAATACTAATACATATTAAAATACTAAAATATTATTGATACTTTTTTGCTATCATATAATAAAACTAATTAAACTTAATATAGCACAAGATAATATTAATATAACACAAAAAAAATTAAATATATAAGAAAAATCAATTAAAAATATAGAAATAAAATACATGCTAAATCTTAATAAAATAATCTATATTAAATATATATTATGATATAAATCTAATTTATAATATAAAATATTTTAAATAAAAATCAATTAGATTTATAATAATTATTATTTTTTGTTAAATATTATTATTATATAAAAAAATATCATTATTATAGATAAATGTTGAACTTTTTATAATAATGATACTATGTTTATCTAATTGATCTTTTGCTCTAGTCTATCAACAAATAGCTAAATAATATATAATATATCACAATAATAATAATATATATATATAAATAATAAAAAACAAGTTAATTTTGTTTATTTTAAATTAATAAAAGTTTATAATTAAGTTTTTTTTTATTTGAACTTTGTCTCAAGTTTTATTTTATTATTTTTTAATTTTATTTATCAAAAAGATATTATTATCTTATAAAAATATTATTATAATTATAAATTCAAAATATTTGCTATAAATATAATTATTATTATTATTATTTTGAAATATTTTTATATACAAAAATTCAAAATAATAATAATATTAATAGATTATATTATTAGTAATATATTATATTATATTATATTGTAATATATTTTAATAACAATTATAATCAAACTTTTCTATATTTATTATTCTTAAAAAAGCAAAAATTTGATAATTATAAAGGAAATGTAACTATAGAAGAATTTTTTTTACTATATTTATATATAAATAAAAAAGTAAATAAGATAATTATAGAGAGATATAAAGAGATCTGACTATATTTACTAATTCAATATACAATACTCATTAAAAGTAACAGATCTTTCATAACTTTTTATAAATTATGTATAATATTCTAAAATTTTTTGAATATAAAAAATATTACAAATGCTGATCATAATATCTTTTATAAATTAGTAAAGCTTTTATATTAGATATTATATATTTATAAACTTTCATGTTCCAAATATAATAATTAATTACTTTAGAATATAATATCTTGACTAAAGATAATATTTCAATTAATTGTGACTTGTAGTATCCAATTAGAGAATTACAAATTAATTGCAATAATTAATTAAAGAATTATAATCAAGTTATAATCAATTGCAATTCTATTTTTAATCTTGATATCTAGAGATCTAATTTGAGCAAAAATATTATTATTTGATTTTTTTAGGTTAGATAAATTAAATAATAGTATTTTTGCTCAAATCAGATTTCTGAATGTTGAAATATTATGTTCTAAGTGATTAATTCATATTTATTAATCAATTTTTCATTATAAATTGATTATCAAAAAAATAAATTAGTCAATTTAGAATATAATATCTCAATTACTAGTAATTCAATTCAAAAAATAATATATATTATTTGATTTGTCTAGTCAAAATAAATCAAATAATTATATATTTATTTGAATCAGATTACTGGAGCTCAAAATATTATGTCTTAAATTAATTGATTTATTTTTGTTAATATTAAAAAAATAAATTTGTTACTTTAGAATACAATATTTTGATATCCAGTAATTTAATTTAAAAAAATATTATTATTTAATTTATTTAAGATTTAAAGATAATATTTTAATTAATTATGACTTGCAATATCCAATTAGAAAATTGTGATTTAATTGTGATTAATTGCAACAGTTAATCAGAGAATTGTGATCAAATTACAACTAATTATAATTCTATCTTTATTAAAATTGCTTATCAAAATCTCTTAGTGATTGCTAAAATTATATCAAAATTATAATAAATTATTAGTAAATAATCTGTCAAAATTCTGATGAGTTTTGAAATTCATTATAACTAAAATTATGACAAAATTCTAATTAATAATTAGTATATAATCCATTAAAATTTTTCTAAAAGAATTTAAATAAGTATTCTTAAATTCATCTCAATTAGGTAAATTGAATGATATATTTTTATTTAAATCAAATTATTGGATGTCAAGAGTTAAATTATTTAATATTAAAATATATATTATGAAATAATTAATTATATATATATTTGGGATATGAAAATTTATGAATAATACCTGATATAAAAGCTTTACCAATTTATAAAAGATATCATGATTAGCATTTGTAATATTTTTTGTGTTCAAAAATTTCAGAATATTATATATAATTTATGAAAAGTTATAGAAGATCCATTACTTTTGACAAGCATTATAAACTATATTTTTAAATAGTTTTTAATAATTTTTTAAATATATATAATTATGTACTAAAAATTTTATATAATTAAATATTTTATAAAATTTTTGTTTTTGATAATTATTAGTAATCTTATAATTAAAATACTTTTTGTACTATACTATATGTAATATAATCAAAATTTCAAGAAATAATATATTCTAAAAAATTTTTTTCTTAATTTTATTATTAATTAATATCAAACAAAACCAAGTTTAAATAATATTAAAGTATCTAATAGATTTTTGTATATAAAAATATTTAGTTTTATAATTTTCTAAATTTTTTATATATTTTTCAATCATACTACATGTAGTACAAAGACCTAAAACCAATTCATTAATTAATTTTATAACACAAATTAGTTTACAAAAATTAAACTTGATAATCATATTAATAAACAATATATTACTATTATTAATAAAATATATAAAATGCAGATTTTTCTCTATTTATTTTTATATCAAATTTTACATTTTATATTTAACATATATTTTTTGGATTCAAACTGAAGTCTGCTTTTTAATTGAATCCAAAATATAAAATTTGATATAAAAATAAATAGAGAAAAAAAACATTGCTGCATTTCTTTTGATTGCATGCTAATAATTGTTGTCGTTTATCTTGCAATTTATACATGGAGCCCGCTTCTACCATTTAGAATTTTTATTATATCTACTAGTGTATATTCCGGATCTATAAGTTGAAAATCTAGTCATAAAATTTTTACATTGTATGCTGGCAGGTTTCGAAGAATGAGCGAAATTTGTTTATTTCGTTTATTGGGGTATATCAAAAATTATAGCGATAGATTTCCAACATTGTGCAATAAAATTTCAGTGAATAGCTCATGGAACGTCAGCTAAAATACAGAATGATGCGCGGTCCTGCGCATCTTTGTTTCATTCCTTCTCCTTTTTCCAGTTCAAACACCTTCAATGAAAATAACAACCACCACCACGACGAAAATTATTCACCACCACTTCCATTTAGAGGACACCTTTGTAACCTAGCAAATTCAAAAAGTTATGCTATACGAGGTACACTTGCGACGCGGTCGCCTCCAGCGACATATGCTCATCATGAATGTATCATGGAACCACCTATATATTATGATTTCTGTGTGCATGACTATAGAACACGTCATACATGGAATTTTAACTGGGTGAAATGGTGGGAAGGGGATTGCGGGTGGTTTGGTACCGACGAAGATGGGGGTGAAAGATATAATAATGATAATGATAATCAAAATCAACAATTAATATTAGATGCTGAATCTGAATTCGAAGCGAAACCTTATGTTGGGTTTCGCACCGAGATAATGTACAATGGAGATATGGCAATAAGATACATTACAAAATACCTAAAGCGTGGTATTCTGGATGAGTTGGATGATGAAGAGTTGGATCAAATACGTGTTTGTATTGGGGAAATGGTGGTAGTTCTAGATGACGTTGATGATGATGATGAGATGGAAGAGGAGGATGAAGAGGAGGATGAAGAGGAAGTTGAAGAAGATGAAGAACAAGAAACCGCACCACAAAATGATATCGAGAATAAATTTTCAAATTTGCACATAAAATGATAATTGATTCTTACATTGATAAACATCATGTTTTATTTTGTTATATTATTTAATTGTGTAAATATGTTTTTATTTGTACATGAATTTTTATTAATATTTAAGATGCTTCTTCAGTTGCATGTTCTCGTTTCCTTTAAACTGATGCCGTTATTATTGTTATTATTATCAGTATATATTATTAACATTAATATTGCTGCTGCTGCTACTGCTGCTTCTGCTACTTGATTCTTTTTCACATGTGGCAGAAATGATTTCATTTTTTTTAATATGATTTTTGAGTAAATCTTATGATTGGTTATCTTCTGTTCCTCCTTCTTCTCCTCCTCTATCTCGTCCCAAAGAATCAAAAATATTCAATATGACCGCTGAAATATTTTCAACATCTTGAACATTTAGCATCAATTGAGATTTTTCATATTCTGCCATTGTATTGGTTGGTGTTGAAATAGACTCCTCTTTATCTGTTCCTTTGTCATGTAATTGATCTTTAAAATTACAAAGAGAGATGTCTTGATTTTCACATATATAATTCGAAAATTCGTCAGATTCGAATGGAAAAGAACACTAATAGATTAAAAAAAATTAGATCAATATCAACGATAATTCAATTGCCATTTAAATAATATGGAATAATATGGAATACTACATTTTTATTTTCGCACATGTAAAAAATTAACCCAAAACTTATAGTGAACGGAAGCACTCTTGACGAACAGTTTGAACAAACTGTTTCTTTTTGTTGTTCCTGTCCTTTCTCTACGCTTAATTCCATAACGACAATAGAAGGCGCTCTTGGAATGTGATAATGATCTAATTCCACGTGCACAAAAAGATTTTCAACTTCTGTATCACGATCACGATGATAAATGAACTGCATCATACAAATACATTTCTTTGCTAATTAAGTTCTCTCAAAATAATCATAATGGCACTTTTTGTCGGACGGTTTGTTAATTACCACATTAATCTTGAGCCTTGTGATTCTGAAAAAGAATATCGTAGCATAACGCGCGTGCTTATAATTTTTTTGTAAACCGTTGGATTTTCAAACTAGACTTGCACTGGATACTCACCCACGAGATTTAGAACATATCTTTGACAAGTATGGACGATTGAATAGGCTGGAGATTAAAAGAGGGTATGCATTTGTGGAATATATGGATACTCGCGACGCCTCGGATGCTCTGAAAGAGACTGACGGGATGGTATGTTCAAAACGATTCTTAGTTTGAAATATCATTTATCAGATGTCAGTGACCACGAACAACAATACTGAACGTTTTGAAAATTACGAATTTTTTTCTTTTTTTTTCTTATCTTTTTCTTAGCGAGTCCGTGGCAATAGAATCGTCGTAGAGTGGGCCAAAAACGGTGGAAAGAAACCGGGTATGTCCGCATACGGTAAAGCAGGAGTTTGTGTTGGCACACGCTCCACCATTTTTTTTTTGTTTCTTGTGCTGCATTTCAACTTGCGAAATTACTTGAGGTTTAACCACGGATTCTTTTATCACTTATCCATGTTAATAATTAATACACGGATATCAACAGCCGATAATCAATGCTTCAAGTGTGGACGAGAAGGTAAAATGCTTGGATAAATTCTTGAATTTAGGTTCTTCTTAGCATACAGCATATTAATCATATTGTGATGTATTTATTTTTATCATCCAAAGGTCATTGGGCGAAAGATTGTCGTTCAAATTCTTTTCGATCTCATAATAGACATCGTAGCAGGAGCCCTCGAAAAAGGTTTGTCATTCAGTTTTATTGTCTATTTACTATTACGTATCTTTTATTCTATAGATGCGTCAGTATTTAGAGTATATACAGTAAACTAGTGCTATCATATCAGCATCAAGATATACTTGCACACTTTGATTCACCGTTTTCCCCGTCCAGTCATTATCTATTGGTCATATTCTTCAGTCAGTCAGTCAGACAGTTTGGATGTTATCTATCTTCCCCTTGTCGAGACCTCTCTTCCTAATAGTCACAGTCAATAAATTCCTAGTTTTTCCTCCCGAGTATTGATGGCATTGTTTTGAAGCACGAGCCGCGTTCATCGGGTTTAAGCTACGAAACATACTGTATACTCTTTGCCCTGCCTTCAAGTCTTGAGTGAAGCCAAGTCTTTTCAGATTTCCTATATATCATCGCAGTTTGGCCACTTGAACAGTTTCAGTTTCAGAAGCACCGTTATCCTAGCATTGATTCTTTGGCATTCGCACTGATTGTTCCGCTTCGCATAAATGCCCGTCCTTTTCTTATCCGTCGTCCTGTTTCCCGTTCTCCGTTTTTGTATTTTCATAATTTCTTTTTCTTTTGTTTCAAGTTTCAAAGTGTGATGGAAATACTAGAAAGTTTACCAACAGGACAATTGTTTCCCTATTATTTATTAATGAGCTTTTTTTATTTTAACATAAAGATCTCGTTCTCGCTCGCCCCGTCGTTCACCGAGAAGATCACCTGGACGCCATGACCGCGATCGTGGTGGAAGAGACGAACGCGAAGAGCGTGATGAACGTGATGGAAGAGACAGTCGTGGATCTGGTGGTGGAGAGAGAGAAGAGCGCGGCTCCTATTCAGAAAGAAGACATACTGGCGAAGAAAAACGATTTTCGTAAGTAAATGGTTTTTATTATTTATCAATAAGATACATATTGGTATAAGTTAGTGGGTTTGTTTTTTTGCTTATCAAGAGTGAGTGAGGTTAGGTTATGTGTCAAATATCATACTAGTGATTAATCGAAAAGATCGAACGAAATCTCTCGTTCCTTTATTGAATTCGCAGTTCCGAGGGATCCTCCAGTGACCACGGTGGTCAGGGGTAACTATTTATATACATATACATATATATACACACACATCTTTGGAAAACAGCACACATCTTTCTTTGTCTCTTAAATTTCATATTGTCAAAAACTGTTATTTATTCGTTAAATTCGTAGTGATGTTGCCTCTTTGCTTTGTAATTAGTAAAGTTGCGTCGTCATATTATACGCATTTTTCGAAGAATAATGGTTAAAAATCAAAATGATAAGTTGGGCGATCATGGTGGAATGCATATAACTTACAATTATAACGGGCTCGTTAATATCATTAACATATTATATATATATAATACTTTGCATGCAACTATTTGTATTAAAATAAACTCTATTTTTCATCTTATTCGTGACTGGAATGAAATTCAATTTTCATGATAACGTTAATAGTTATCATGAACTACCTTTAACGTGTCATCAATTTGACAAATTGAGATATTAACAAATGCACACATTGATGTCAAAAATACTAATCATAAATATTTTACTCGAGTACTAAGTATTACTACTATTATGCAAAATTGTTGAAATATCTTGTCTCACTATACTGAACGAAAACCCGAAAGAATAACCATTCGAAAGAAGGCTACGCAGGTTTCTACTTTCGATACCATAATGTTGTTGTCTAATTCAAATAAGCAGAGAGAAAATGAATAATAAATCTCACAAAAATCGAATAAATTGAAAAATATAGGCCTAATTACCCTGCTTCTTCTCATTTTCTTTTGCAATTGAAGCACTCCGTATAAAAGTGCTTCAGCCGTTGGTGGACACCCAGGTACATAAATATCGACGGGTACAATTCTATCGCAACTAAAAAGAACCTTGTCTGTCAGTTAAATCCGTAAGTATAAATTTCATCACGCAACAATTTCGATTCGATCCTTACCCTCTAACAACACTGTATGAATAATGATAATAACCGCCACCATTCGCGCAGGATCCCATGGATATAACCCACCGCGGTTCAGGCATCTTATTTTTATTCACGCACATGCTATATAATTATTCTTTTATAATAGGAAACTCGAATAAACATCTAGTGTTAGATATTGTTTTTCTACCTGGTCATATACTTTTCTCAAAGCGGGTGCCATTTTGTTGGTCAGTGTTCCGGCAACTATCATGACATCGGACTGACGTGGAGAAGCTCTAAATACAATGCCTATACGATCTTGGTCATATCTTGCTGCCGCCATATGCATCATTTCCACTGATACAGAATATAGCATAGTTTAACATAACTTTGCTATATTGTTAATGTCAGAAATCTTAATCTATTAAGGACAATTACCGGCACAACAAGCTAATCCGAATGTCTGTCAAAAGCAAAATCAATATAAGAAAGAATTCAACATTTAAAGTGAAATCAGAGATCAAGCAATCGATATACATACCATCGGCCATATCGAACTTTGTCGAGCCCAATTAAATACTTGATCCACTGTAGACAGTACATATTCTGCATGCAATTGAAAAATAAAATTATGAGAATTCCGGAATGAAAATATCCCAAAAAATCGAAATAAGTACCGGCAGCATTGTTCGGCTTAGCCAGTGAGAAATTGGTGAGCGTTTTCTTGGATACTGAAGTTTCGGAAGTTTTCGGGGTGGTAACACTGCTATCTGTTGCCAAACCTCGAACAAACTCTCTCGAAAAAATCGATGAATTTCGAAGTATTTCGCCTATATAATAAAATACCAGAGTCAATACGAGTTAAAGAATATGCATAAACTTATTGAAATTGATTTTTTTCCTTATTCAAAACACTAATGGTCTAGAAATGAGAAGTAAACCAACTGACCTCTGTGAAATCCTAATGTGTGAGTTGTTAGCCTTCTTGAAGCAACTTTTAGAACGAGTTTACTAGAGTTAATGGGAGTTGAACTCGAATGATACTGGAGTCAACAAGCGAAAGAACTTACCTTTTGAAATGAGTGAAGAAGTCGAGGTGAATTTTTGCAGTGCCATTTTAGTTGTGCAAGAGTATTAAGGTATTTAACTGATAATCGTCAATCGGCCACAAAAAACCAAAATTACAAATCAAAAAAGTAAACAGGTAATTAATTAATTCATTATACATAGCAAGTATCTTCTAATTTGTGAATTTGAAAATAAACCAACTAATTGCTCATAATGTCAAATTCTTCCGCTGCAGAAAGAGCAAGACGGACCTCGGCTAGTTTTAATTATGTGGAAATGCATATAGCTTCCTCAGAGCTAAACGACGAGGAAGCTCGTTTAGACGAAGAGGAAATTCATTTCGACGAAGAGGAAGCTCGTTTCGACGAAGAGGAAGCTCCTTTAGAGGAGGAGGAGGAGCAATCAGAAGAAGACGAGCATACAGGCATGAAAAATTACATTCAAGATTTAATAATCTTTCAATTCTTTACATTGATGCAGCTTATTTTTTTAGGCTGGCGTAATAGTGATATTCGCATAGCCGCACTACGCCGCCTAGCTCTTCAACGAAGATCCAGAAATGAAGCATTATTTGAGAGTCCAAGGCGAAATGAAAATTCGTTGCCATTACCACCAATTCCTGACCCTAAAGGAGATGCATTATTGAAATCGGGTGAATTTGGATATGTAAATTCTCATAATAAATCAATTCTGTTTGTGATGTCCTGTGTTTTTGATAGCATCATTTGTTTTTACCGAACTTGCATGTTAACATATAGATTGAAAAATATGAAAGGCCAGGTTCATTAGGCCAATTGCCATCCTCACGAAATATCGTAGATAAACTTCAATTCCGCGAAACTTTTCCGGTCCGAGTTTCGCCAATGTCTGTTGCAAAGGTACGTATAACAATTTAGCAGATTTAATAATTTTTATTCTTCAATCAGGTATTTATTTTATCTTAAAATTTTATTAACAATGCCAAAAAAAAGAACTTTTATCCAAACACAAATGGTTTTGTCGTGGATTACTATGAAACACCAGCTTATTCGGGACAATATTCATTAGATGGCTCATTTTTTTATGCTTGTTGCCGAGATTTTTGTGTATATATTTATGACACGACAAATCCCACAAAATTCACATCAACCAAAGTTATAAAAAGCGACACTGGACGTTGGACCATTACAGATGCTAATCTCAGTGCGAATAATGAATGGATTGCATATACCAGTATTACGCCCTTTGTATATGTTGCAAAAACATCACAAGATGAAGATTTTCAGACAATGCTAAATTTTTCGAATGCCCGACGAGATGATGATTTCGGAGTGTGTGTCAAATGATTTCGGCAATGATCGATCTTCTTTTCTATTATTTAATTGTTAATATTTTCTTTATAGCTGTGGTCGGTTCGTTTTTCAAACGATGGCAGAGAATTGGTTGCTGGCAGTAGTAACAGAAATATATATGGTAATTACCCACGAATTTGATCTCTGTATTCCCGAATCTCAAGCAACTATTTATGTATTCCTGGCTTCTACCCTGCTTATAGTGTATGACATAGTAGAAAAAAAAGTCATACTTAAAATTCAAGGACATAGAGATCATGTCAATGCTGTGTGTTTCGCAGATGAGTCTTCGAATATACTTTATAGTGGTAGTGACGATTCAATGATCAAAGTATGGTTAGTATCATTGTTCATTAAACCATAATTTTTTCATTTATTCTTTCAATTATCTTTTCGCTTCTATTGATTCAGGGATAGAAGATCGATGCATGGTAAAAAACCGAGTGGAGTGTTGATAGGGCATCGAGAAGGGATAACGTATGTCTCGTCTAAGGGAGATGGAAGATATTGCCTTTCAAATTCAAAAGATCAGACGATGAAACTATGGGATATAAGGTATGACGATTCATTGATTATTTCTATTTTTCCGGGTCACTTTAGTTTCGGCAATCGACCCTTCTAATTACTCGATTTGATTTTTATACAATATAGAAAAATGATGTCGAGCGATAGATTCGATGGATTATCGGACGACGATAAAGATTATCGGCTCGAATGGGATTATCGGTTCATATAATTAATTGATTCAAGCATCTTTGAAATCTTTTGTTAACCAACCAATAATTTAGTTCTCATCTTTATTCTTTATAGGTTTATGGAATATCCTGGTAATAAATATGATACACATCCTCACGATGTGTCGGTAATGACTTATCGGGGTCATAGAGTCCTAAAAACATTAATACGTTGTTACTTTTCTCCGATGTACAGCACCGGTCAAAGGTACTTTTATTTTATATTTACCGTATACTGCCACAATTTTAGACCTGAAAACTTAAGGGGTAGTTTATTTTTGGGTTTAACTTTATTAAGCTTATGTATATTTTTGCATGGTTTTTTGCTTTTTTCGGAGATATACTCATAATAAAATTTAAATGATTTTACGTTGCAGTTATCTTTATACTGGTTCGGAGGATGGGAATGTTCATGTGAGTATTTATTTTTAGAAATTTACATTCCAAGCAATTTTTTATTACAATCACACTCAATTAAATTTCTTTAATGAATGATAACAGATTTACGGTCTTGATGGACGCATTGTCCAAAAACTTGATGTAGGCGTCGCCGTTTATCCTAACACTCGAATTCGGAGCTCGCACCGACCAGTAACAAGGGATGTTAGTTGGCATCCTTATTTGCCAATATTAACCTCAACAAGTTGGTTGGGAACAGGTCAAAATATGGGTATAGTCACATGTCATCCCTATAATGAGCTAATAGACACTTAGACCGAAGCGCATTTTTATTGTTGTATATTTTCCTTCATGTATTATATCAGTTTGAAATTCTGAATGTACAATAATTCTCGAATTAACATAAAAAATGATGTCACACACACTATATTATCAATTCATAATAAAATGAATATCAATTTCAATGAAACAGAGCAATCAAACACCCGAGAAGAATTAGTTTTAGTGCCGATTGAAATGCCAAAAGATGCTGTAAAGGTTGGCGAAGCGCACGAAGAAGTGTTTTTACTGTACACAGAAGGTAAACCAGTGGAATGGCAACATAATCGTGTGGTTGAGCAAAAAAAGGAATGTGTAAATGTCATGCTCGATGGTAAGAATTTTTTTATTGCTCATATACCATTTTAGAGAATTTAGCTTACTAAACTATTTTTGTTATTAGACACACATACAATAACAATATATCAATCACAATCACTTTTATCACTTCGTGGTAGCACTGGCTCAGTATTATGGGATCCAAGCATTTTACTCTCACGTCTCTTTCTTTCCCAATACGCGCAATCGTTCTTTAACTTTTCGACAGATCACACGCATATTCTGGAACTAGGTGCTGGTTGTGGACTTGTAGGTATCACTCTCGCACCCTTAGTAAAATCAATTACACTAACAGATCAACAAATGGTCCTACCGTTATTATGGAAAAATGTGAAACGAAATCTGGGCGAAGATGTTGCAAGAAGTGGAAAGGTGAGTGTAGTAGAATTAGTATGGGCAAAAGGAAACAAAGAAAATGGCGGAATCGATCGGGATATAATGCGACAACGATGGGATTATGTGGTCGTATGTGATTGTGTGTATAATGAATTTATTGTTGATATTTTGGTGGCTACGATCGCGAGATGTTGTCGTGCTGGTAGAGGAAAATATAAATTCAATTATCAGGGAAAAGATTTAGACACCTCTGAACAGGAAGAAGGGCAAAGAGTGAAAAGTACGATTGCGATTATTGCTTTGGAGTTAAGAGCGGACACGGTGCATTGGTTTTTCCTGGAAGAATTGGTTAAACTATTTTTTGTTTGGCGATTGCCAGCACGAATGTTAGATCAAGAATTTGAAAAAGGTTATGTGGTTTATTTGTGCTGGTTAAAAAAGGAATACGAAGAATAGTGAGGTTCGAATTAATGGTGGTTTATTTATTACTAAAGAAACTGGATTATTTAATGTTCTAAAAATATTATTTTTCAATATAATTCTCATTATATATTTCTATTTATTAATTACTAATTTATTACTACCGAATTTATTTATTTATTATAATATAACTGCCAATTGTCTTATAAATAACATCAATTAAATCAATTAATATTGCGAAAATGCCATTCCGCTCACAAAAAATGCCAAGACAGCAGCAAAGGCAACTTGATAAATTGTCTCGAGACTCCTCGATGATCCAGCGCCATTACCTGGGTCTGGTGTTAGTGTAGAAACTGGGCCTGTTGGTACATCGCGAATTTGAGTAGTGGTGGATTGTTTACCACCGGGGGATGAGGTTGAAGTACCATTGGTACTGGTGGTATTATTGTTATTGGTGTTGGTTGAATTGCCACTGGATGTGTTGTTTGAAGCTTGTGTAGAGTTTCCAGCTGAAGTTGAGTTGCCGCTAGAACTATTGTTGTTTGAAGTTGAGTTGTTGCTGCTTCCACCGTTCCCGCTATTATTGCTATTTCCGTTACTACTATTAGGACTAGTGTTATTATTACTGATACCACTGCCACCGACAGCAACACCATTTCCACCATTTCCGCTACTATTTTGATTATTATTATTATTATTGCTTCCAGTATCGGTAGTATTAGCGGCGGCTTTAACGGTCGGTGTAAATAACACGAGTGCCGTTGCGAGCAAAAGCCCCAAATTCAAAGTGATGAATAGTTTTGAGACGCGCATGTTTAATGTTTATGAATCAAAATTAATCGAGAAACAGAGATTTAAAAAATTTGTTGGGTTATGTGGTTTTCGAGAAGCCTTAAAAAACTCGCACGAGTAACCGCCAGACCTGTCTATTTAAAGGTTTTTTTGCCAAGCAATAACGATTTTAAATTAATTAATGTACAGGAGAAAAAAAAGTGGGTGTATCATGACGTATTACCAATCGAAAGGATTTTCGTTCTTTTTTTATTTTATTGTTGCCAAGAAAAGCCTCTGATCGGTTGAATGAACGGGGCTGCACACTATTTTTAAAACAATCATGGAAAAAGAGAGTGTATGGTGTGTCTCTTGATTTATTATCCGAATTTAATGCATTTTGCATCCATGTGGTATATAGAAAATTGCGGTCGCGTAAATCTAACGATTTTTTATTCGTGCTCACTTAAAACTAGTATGACATGACTTTAGCAGGTTATTTGTATCGCCAAACAAATGGCTTTGTAAGGTAATAAATAATTAATTCGATCATCCGACACACAAAACATACCAAGCTTGGATTATTTAGCAGCGTTGCCACAAGACAATGCTTTGGACATAGTATGGTGCATAACATCTAAAGTCATCAAATGTTTGTATTTTATAAACTGTATAAACTTTTTTACTAAGAAGTAAATACAAGGTTTAATCTGTGAATATCATATTCATGGATTAAATTTATATTTACTTCTTAATAAAGAAGTTTATACAGTTTATAAAATACAAACATTTGATGACTTTAGATGTTATGCACCATATTGGACAAATCCAAAATGCATTGGATCTGCAATGTAACAATTTTGTGATCATGTTGAAAACGGATTATGGTGAAAATTTTGGTCCAAATTGTGCGGATCATGGGATCATTTGGCCAGAATTATCGACAAATTTTTATCTCTTAAACCATCCTATTGTAATAAAAAATGCTTATTCTAACAATAACTAAAATAGAAATAATCTTTTAAACAATCTATTACATATAAAAACAATTAGTTGTAGGATTTTGATCTTTAAAATAAGAAAATTATAAATGCAAGCAAAAATGTAAGACAAAATATTTTAGTGTTCAATTTTGTACGCTAAGACGGTTTAAGGGATAATAAAAGAGCAATATTTTGAAAATAATGATATATGCATAAAATACATAACTTAAATTAATTTTGCAATAATGTTTATATTGCTAAATACTATATAAATTATTAGCATAATTGTTATTTATAGTTTATTATAATAGATATTGCAAATGTTCATCATGATCCCCCACACACTTAAAGACCGAAAGCTAATACAAAAAGGAGGCCACCTATAATTTGGCGACCTTTTTTTACCGTTTTCATATGATCGGAACATGCCAAATGAAATCACATTGTCTTCGACCAATTTGTTGTTGTGTTAATTATATAATTTTTTGGCAAAAATGAAATCCAAACAGTGCTTCGGGATAGTGTTTAATCACGTAACCTTTTCCGGGCCAGTGCCGGAAAAATTTATAATCGGTGTATTTGTGTCCCAATTACAATATTTGGTTTAGATTGTCACACCAATTGGAACAAATTGTGATTTGGGGCACAACATATACAATGTTATCGGGTCAAATCCCGAACCGCACACTTCGGGTCGGGTCGGGTTGGTATTAAACCCGACTCGAAATATTTCGGATCAGATTAAAAATCGTTATCTCTCGTTCAATATTAGTCCAAATTAAACAAAAATTTGTAGATATATACACAATTAAATTTCAAACAACTCTACTTAACAAGTGTCTTAGTAAAAATAAAAGTTACTAACGAAAAAATATTTTACGATTTTCAGATCAAACCCGAACTGACCCGAACAGAGCTTTAATTAATGTATCACAGAAGCTTTAATATAGATGAATGAGAGAATAAAGATTGATTTATTATAAGACTTGTTTTTAGTGCTCAAAAACTAATTATTCTCTTGCATTTTCTTTTACGTATATATTAAATTTCTTCTAATTAACTTTTTGCACTATTATGGCAATAAAATAACCCGTCGTACTGGAAAAGAACATGTAATTAAGTACTATTTCTGCACTATTATGGCAATAAAATAACCCATCGTACTGGAAAAGAACATGTAATTAAGTACTATTTCGAAACACTATCCGTAAACTTTCGATTTCAAAATGTGACAAGTCACATGATTTCAGTTTAAGTACCAAGATCTTAGTTAATGAGTTATTTTCATATTATTTTTTAAAGATTTTATTAAATAAACAAAATAATTTAGATTTTAATTAATGATTATTTTATTAATTGAATTCTAATTGTAATATTATATTATTATAACAAATAAAATTTAAAAATAATATATATTTCTACAAAAAAATAATAAATATAATAAAATTGTAATTATTTTTCTCTTTTTTTCTTTATTTTTATTTTTTAAACAAGATTATTTTTGAATTATTAGATCAAGATTTTTTATAGTATCTATTTTGATCAGATAAAATATAATAAATTATTAATTACAAGCTATTAATTTTTTTTCTTTTATAATTGGAATTAATTAATCAATAATTTTTTTATTAAAATATTTAATAATTTTTATTGTTATAAAAAATAATAAAAAACAAATATAGTGCTCATTAAAAGTAATCTATTCTTTATAACTTTTCATAGATCATATATAATATATTAAAATTTTTTGAGCACAAAAAATATTACAAATACTAATTATTAATACTTTTTATAGATTAATAAAGTTTTGTTACAATTTATAATTTTATAATTTCTAATTTTAATTTTATAATTCTTTAATTTCTTAATTTTATAATTCTAATTTTATAACTTCTTAATAATATATTCAATATATTTATTAAGTTAATTATATCAAAAATATTAATTATATTAAATATATTTATTATATTAATATACTTTCAAACTATATAAATACAATATAAAATAAAGTTTTGAATATTATTAATTAATTATAATAAAAATTTAGTTAATTAATAAATTATTTCTTATTTATTGTTATAAACTTTGTATATTACTTAATTAATTTATATTTTTTTATTATATTTATTAATATATTTATATTTTGTACTATTAAATATTAATCAAATTGCTAAAAATTATTAGTATTATATTATTTTAGAACTATTTCATACTAAGTAGATATATTATTTATTAATAATTATAAGAGCTTATCTAACAGATAAAAGAAAATGCATTATATAACAATCTAAAATAATAAAATCTGACAAGATTGATTATTGTTACCATGTGATGAATTCAGTACCTGATATAAGATATATTATGTTACTTATAGTATATTTCTATTGGATAATTAGTAAATATATGATCTACAAATTAT